ATTACGTTGAGATCTGATAATGGTGAAATCTTGCACAAACAAAGCAATCGTTCTCAGTGAGAAGGACGTGCGGGCGTGCAATATGCCGGCCCTAGAAGCTGGGAAGTGAGGATTCCTTATTTTAAATACTGCATCCATTGAACGATTCCGTCCAATCACAATCCTCACTGCTATGACTCAAAATATAAAATAGACAGCCAGTAATGGACAAACCCACCATGGTTTCCATTTTAAATGTTTGTTTATTAGCCTCTTGGCAGCAAGGTCCGTGCGCATCGCAGTAGCTGGGGGAATCTTCACGGTCACTGCGAAGACAAGTTCTTAAATTGAATCAAACAAGAACGTTCAAGCTAAAACATATATCTTGTTAAATAAGAATATAAATTTAATTTGATAAACTTTTAAAGAATTGTTAGATTAGTTTAGATGCCATCGTGTGGTGGGTGGTAGCTAAATCTTGCCAATCACAGTCCTTGTCTTTGTCCGTAAACTAAGGGTAGTGGAAGTCTGTCTCCGTTTCTCCTTTATTTTTGTTATTTGTCCTCTTGCCCTTTTCAGCCCGAATTGGAGGCCTCTTAATTTTTGTGTGGCTGAAAATTTTATAAGTATCTTTAGACTTTAGTTAGCCGTAGGCCTCCGGGTTTGAGGAACACAGAAAAAAAGTTGAAACCACCCTTGACCAATATTCATTTTAGAACCACATGCCGGCGGCTCCACTCATTTTTCACTCTCTCTCTATATACTCCTCCGGTTCTTAATATAGGACTCAATTATTGAGTTGATTTTAGTCTTAAATATAAGACTCATTTATCATATTTATCAATTTTTTTAAAATTACCCATATGGATACTCCATCAACCATAATCAAGTCGAAGAGGAAGAGTGGGCATTAAAAAACATGATTATAGTGTTTTAGGAAAAACATGTCACATTTCTTATAATTAACTAACTTTCTTAATCTAATTAAATTAGTAAAATGAGTCTTATATTAATGACCGGAAGAGTATATAAATATATATTCGCTTTTCCGGCGACCGTGGAAATAGAATGGCCCCTGTATTACAATCGATTTGTCTAGATTCATGCATATGGCAGTGAAAATCAATTAATATTAAACGCAACGTGACTCTGACTCTTGGCCTCTTGCGTCTAATACTTTTATTTTCATTTTAAAACCAACAATATTCCGGGGGGGGGGGGTGGTATCTTATTAATTCTTTTCGCAGATACATTTAAAGACCGTTAAACAGTATAACATAACCGCGGGATGAAGCAGATTAAGAGAATTTAATTTTCACTTCATTGAACGAAAATATAATGTTCCTATCACTGTTATTCAATAATCATTGTTTTTCTAATCCCCACAAAATATAATGGTCGCTGTTAAATTTTAAATTATTTTCAGCGTGTTCATCGACTTACTTAAATACAGATGAGATTGTAACAAATTAAAAGTCGTATAATAAAGTTATTTAAAAAAAATTAGTTACAGCTGATTGATGTTTTTATCAGACAAATATAGGTGGGTAGTTTTAAATAAGTCATAGCATTGAGAAAATTTGTTACATTATTAAGTCATTTCTAAAGTTGCTTTGGTTTGGTTTTTCATATTTGTTCCTAGTAGTTAAAAACTATAAATTTGAACAACATATGCTCTTTTTTATCTCCTAATTGGGATTTGATTACAAACAAAATATTTCATCCGATTTAAAATATAAGCTAAACTTTATCCATTATGTTTATAAAAAAAAACTACTTAAAATCAATTTAAAACAATAAATGTGTGAGGTATATATTTGTTTTTCCTGATATACCCTTGTTAATAAGTAAAATATGTAATAAAAAATTAAAAAGGAAAAAGAATATATAAGGTAAAAACAATTGTTATCTTATAAAAAAATAATTCTTTTAAAAAAGTTTAATTTATATTATGAATCGGAAAGAGTGTTTTGTAAAGTTGTTTAGACCAGAACTAAATTGGACTTCGTGACCGAGAAAAGGAAGCATCCTTTCCCCAAAACAATAAAGTTGTTGACGAGAAACAGAAAAACTTGGCCGCGTCATAACTTCAAAAGCATCCACTACGGGAAAAATCTATTTTACTGTGCAACTTCCCCGAGCAATAAAATCAATCAATACAGGGTAAAAAAACTACAACATTCCTAACAATTTGTTGCTTCTTTTTTTTTTTTCCCAAAGACATCAGAATTAAATTCGGAATGCTAGCTATTCTCCCCGCACCTCAATTTTTCCGCTAACCAAGAAGCCATGACAAAAAGGAGGGGAAAGGGATGCCGCAGCCCCATTCGGCGATAACAGCGCCCTTTTTTCAACTGAGTTAAAAATAATGTGGTCTGGGCTTTCTAAATAATTTGTTTTAACTGTAATTTATTATGAATTACAGGACAATCTGATGGGCATTGGATGCAATTTCTTTGGTTTTTCATTTGATCTGCTGGAAGATACTCCTTCCGATTCAAAATATAAGCTAAACTTTATCAATTTATATCTATCAAAAACTAGCTAAAATCTGTTTAAAACAATAAATATGTAAGACAGTTTTTTTTTTCAAATATGCATTTATTAATATGAGAATAAGTAAAAAATACAATAAATGAATCAAAGAGGAAAGAGAATATGTAAAATTGAAAAAAAAATTCATCAAGTGCCTAAACAAAAATAAATGTTACCTTATAAAAAAATAAATCCTACTAACAAAGTTTAGTTTATATTTAGTACTGAAATGAAAGGAGTAATATGCTGTTTTAAATATCTGAAGCCAGTGATTAAGGAAAAAAGGCGCGTGAATATATAACAAAAAGTATAATAAGGGGGAAAACAAAAGAAATGGGCCAAGAGACAAAAATATCAGAGAAACGAGGGGAATCTTTATTTAAATATTATATTATTACTGCTAGATACTTCTGAAGGGCGCATCCCGAGCATCAGGGTAAATTTTTTAAAAAAATGATAAAGGGATAAATTAAAAATTTAGGCAAAGTTCAAAAAGGACAATTATCATTATTTTCATATTCGCGTAATAGAAGGATCAGAGGGGAGCGGGAGACAAAAGAGTAGAAGAAAATTTATAAAGAAAGTAATCTACTCGGGACATTGAAATTAAAAAAAATAAAGAAATTTTTTGCCTTTTGCGGGGTGGGGGCCACATCGCATCTCAAAAGATTCACATGAGCCACGGAGTTTGACTCTTCGAGACAGTGGTGTCTGCGGTCGGCACCAGCGATTGGCAAAAACCACGAGGATTCCTTTCCAAAGATGAATCTCCCAGATACGAAGCGTGGCCAGGAAAAAATTGCACCCCAGATTCAAAATAATAATAATAAATAAATATGTACTAATTATCAATAATAATAAAATATGAAAGCAGTAGGCGGTGGTGGTGATCGAGGAGCGTGTGGAGGGACCAATGAAAAAAAAAAAATAAAGGAGGAGACACTAAATCACAATAATATTGAGAATGTTCAACTTTACGGCTTCTCAATAATTAAAAATAATAATTACTGATATCAAAATTATTATTAAAGTTCATTTAAATCTATATTGATTAGGATAGTAAGAATTGAGTAAAAAGTAGAATCAATAATATTATCTCCAATTCTAATTATAAGAGCTGGTTGACTAATTTGAGGAGATTAAGGAAATAAGTTAACTTAGTTATCTGTAATAAATAGGTGTTGTCTTTCCTAAAATATCATTACTAATCAAATTTATTGGCTAGAACTACCATTATTAGAGAGACTATTTTGAGAAAAAAATATATAAATATAAGAGATAAAGTGGATTGAGTTCTTATAGTATGGGTCAAAATAAAAGTCAAACGACGTTTTATATTAAAAACAGGAGGTAATAATATAATTATTCTTACTGTTTCATCCTGGTTTGATAGGTTCACTCTAATCCGAATCAGTTCTTAATTTAAACTATGAATCAAACCTGACTTTAGGCGCTTCATCAATTTCTGTACCAACTGGTCCGGTACGGTTTTTTTCCCTCATGGGAGGATGGAAAAAGGGGAAAGTTTGAGGGAGGAAAAAAAGCAAGCCGGTTCGGGCATGGGTTTCGCCTCAGGGGGAATCTAGAAGACTGGGGCAATTTCGTAATTGATGGGGCCATCCCACTTGTCGATGCCAGAAGGTTTCCTCTGTGCGAGTCACACTCTCCCACACCCCACCTGGCACTTCCTCGTTAAATTATTTGGATTCCTTTTTATGTTCGGTCTTAAATAGGTACTCCCACATCGTATGTTGTTGTTGGTAACTTTTCATATTTTAATTCTTTTGTAATTTTCAAAAATACTGAGAAAAACACGCACAGCAAATCGCACCAACAGTGAGTGCGAAAATCTATCTATTTAAAAATGGAAAGCCAGCCCAGGCTGGTTGGTTCCAATGTGCATGCCAAATCATTTACTCCTCCGGTCCTTATTATAAGATTTCGTTTAACTTTTTATTTGGTCATAATTATAAAACCTCAATCCATTTTGTCTCTTATATTTATGCATTTTTTTTCAAGATAATCCTTCTAATAATGATAATTTTAGCCAATATACTTAATTAGCAAGGATATTTTAGGAATGACAATACTTATTTATTATAAATAACCAACTTAACTTACTTCCTTAATCTCCTCAAATAAGTCAATTGGGTGTTATAATTAGGACCGGAGGAGTATATTAATTTTTACGCTTATATAAGAATCAGAACATACAGATATAAATACTTCGATCCAAAACATGGAGCTAACTGATGAATTTGTTTAGCCGGAGAAGGATTACAAGTGAACCAAAATTTTTTATCTTCTCTTGCTTCGGAGACGCCCTTTTCTGATCTTTGTTACAATCCTGATAGCTGAATCAGGATTCCACTTGCCTTCCTTGCAAGTGATTAACATCAAGAAGAACAGAATCTCGGCCTCTTCGCTGACTTTAACCTGCGCAGATGTAATCCTTAAAGTTGTCCGTTGTTATGGTGTTATCTATCCTGTTACTTTTGCTGTTTCCCCTCCCTCCCTCCCTTACTTTTATACAGCTCCCACTGTAACACATCTGATTTATTGTTAATCTCATTTTGCCTTTTATTTGAAAAAAGAGATGAATTTGTTTTAATTCTAAGTATATGATTTTAATTAATATAATCTACTCTGTCTCCCTCATATCAAATTAAATATTATTTTCTTATATCACATTTGCCTAATTTTTTCTCACTCATTTGTTTAGTACTATCTTCGGTTCAAATTATAAGACTAGTTGACTAATTTGAAGAGATTGAGAAAAAAAATTAAGTTAATTATTTGTAATAAATAGGTGTTTTCTTTCCTTAAGTATCATTGCTAATCAAGTGTAATAGTTAGAACTATCATTGTTAGAATGACTACATTGAAAAAAATACATAAATCTGAGAGATAAAGTGGATTGGGAGTCTTATATTTAGGATTAAAATAAAAGTCAAACAAGATCTTATATTAAAAATCAGGAGTAGTATCATTTATTGGTTTCTGACCTTTACCTCTCTATGTGAAAAATTTCATCCTGAAATTGAAATTTTATAATTTTTTTAAACATTGGTTAAGCAGTTTGTATACTTAGCCGCTGGCAAAAATAAGTTTGCATATTTAGCTTAGGATAGCCGGTAGAAAGTATAAATCGACCGTATTGTTGGAGGGTCGGGCCATTCCAATTTAATTCCAACACAATACTGCTTTCAAGTCCGAAACTGTCTATAAAACCGCTGCCAACCCTCGGCCATTTGCAGTGACACACAAACTTGTGAGGGCAGAGACAACAAGAGGGAGAAAGAGATGGGAGGTTGGGCTATCGCGGTGCATGGCGGCGCTGGTGTCGACCCAAATCTCCCACCCCAGCGTCAGGAGGAAGCCAAGCAACTCCTTACTCGCTGTCTCCATCTTGGCATCTCTGCTCTTCGTGCCAATCTTCCCGCCATCGATGTCGTCGAACTTGTCGTATGTATTCTCTCACCCTTTCACCCTGCATTTCCTCCTTCCCCTGTTTCAAATCTCTCTTCCTCTCTCCACACGCTCCCATCACATTCTCTGTTGTTGTGCATGTTATAAATGTAGTCGCAATGTCTATTCTGAAGCGTCTGAATCCCCCATATGCCATCCACAGGCTATGCATGGTTTAATTCAGATACTGTGGGCATTCTTCATTTTATTCCCTTTAAAATGAAAAATTGAACGTTTTTATGCCATTACCGCGCGTTTTTCGTTCTGCTTTTGCCGAGGATCGGCGTTAAAGTTTTTCTTCTTTCTTGGGCATAGGTGAGGGAACTGGAAACAGATCCTCTGTTCAACTCTGGCCGTGGATCTGCGCTGACAGAGAGGGGGACGGTGGAAATGGAGGCCAGCATCATGGACGGCCCGAAAAGAAGATGCGGCGCCGTATCGGGTGTTACCACCGTGAAAAACCCTATTTCGTTGGCCCGACTCGTAATGGAGAGGTCCCCCCATTCGTACCTGGCTTTCAACGGTGCTGAAGAATTCGCAAGGCAACAGGTTCGGCTTTCTTCATCGGCAGAAGCCCTGTTCAATTTGAGTTCTGTCCGTCATATGTTTCTCAGGAGTAGTCTGATGCTTTTTGGGCGGGTCCCGTGGATTCATTTCCTTTTTCTTTTTATTTTTCATGATATTCTTTAATAAAGATATAGAAAAGATGGAATATTGGTGGACAGGATTGGTTTAACAACAAAGAGCTTTTTTTTTTTTTTTTGGGGTGGGGGGGTAACAATGATCTGATGTGATTTTTGTGGTACTGGAAAGAAGAGTAAAAGGGATTGGGATTGATGCAGGGTGTGGAGCTGGTGGAAAATGAGTACTTCATCACCCCTGAGAATGTGGGCATGCTGAAGCTGGCAAAGGAAGCGAATGCTATTTTGGTACGTGATCGAATTGTCTGGCGGCTTTTATTCGACTTATTGATTATTATTAATTTATTAATGATGAGAAAGAGCGTTGACGGAATCCATTGGGATATTCGGGGAATGCAGTTTGACTACAGGATTCCAACGGCGGGATACGAGACGTGCGGCTCCGGGGTTGAGAGTCCACTGCAAATGAACGGGCTGCCGATCAGCGTGTACGCGCCGGAGACGGTGGGGTGCGTGGTGGTGGACGGCAAGGGAAGGTGTGCTGCTGCCACGTCCACGGGTGGGCTCATGAACAAGATGAGCGGCAGGATCGGTGACTCACCCCTGATCGGGGCAGGGACCTACGCGTGTGACCTGTGTGGGGTATCGTGCACAGGAGAGGGTGAAGCCATCATACGCGGAACCCTGGCGCGTGAGGTGGGGGCGGTGATGGAGTACAAAGGGCTGGGCCTGCAAGAAGCGGTGGACTTCGTGATCAAGGAGAGGCTGGACGAAGGCAAGGCGGGCCTGATCGCCGTGTCAAATACCGGAGAAGTGGCCTACGGGTTCAACTGTAACGGCATGTTCAGGGGCTGTGCCACGGAGGACGGCTTCATGGAGGTTGGAATCTGGGAATGAACTCTGTACCACTTCGAGTTTGTTGGTTTGGAAATGGAATCCCGGGCGCGTGGCTGCCACCCTCCTTTACTTAACCTTCTCTTTTTAACGAGGGTCCTAGAATCTGCTAGTTGTGATTCTGAACATGTAAGCAAGTGTCAAATAATAGGGAATTTTCTCTTTATTCAAATAAAATTGAGCAGTAGATTCATCTCCCTTTGAGCCTTTTCTCCCTCTCCTGTTTGTGTATTGTTGTGGACTCATGATGCTTTTGCGTTTTGCGCTTATAAAGCAAGCCCGGTTGGGGGGCATTATTCATTTCCCTCTGACCGCCCCGACAAGGCATATGGAAGTGGTCCTGTTGCGGTGGGGTCTCTTAAGAACGCATTACTCTTTCAATTCTAAATATAATATTTTTATATTTTTTCAGTTTTAAATATAAGATCTTTATACTAATATGTATAAGAATTTTACATTTAGAATAAGAAGGCTTCGCAAATATACATTAGCTTGTCCTTTTACGGTTTTACTATAGTACCCCCGAAACAAAAAATGACACCAATCTTCGTTCAGCCACTTGCTGCCTGACAGTAACGTAGTATTGGAGAAGACGACACGGGTCCACATCACTCGCCAAAATGAATCTGATGAGCCAACAAAAGCGAGTCTGCAGCATTGTTTTCTGTACTCACTCCCTCACTAGGGCGACGAGTGCTGCGTTAAAATTACTCCCTCCGTTTTTTATTATAAGATACGAATAACCGAATTACGTTGATAAAAAAAAACAGTTAAAATTAGTTAAGAGCAATCAATGTGTAAAAAGCATATTTTTCTTTCCAAAAATACCCTCATTAATAAGGAGAGAGAGCATGAGAAAGAAGAATTAAATTATTAAAAGAAAGAGAAGTGGGAGGGAGACAATGTGAGTTGGAGACAATAAATATGGGTAAAATAGAAAATCAACACAAAAAAATAGAGACAACTTTTAAGTGTCTCTTATATATAAGAACATGTTATAAGCATCAAATGTCTCTTATAATAAAGAACGGAGGGAGTATAATTTTTATGCCTAATTTTTGCTGACTTTTTATTATGCTATTCATATAAAATTTTATTACAATTCAACTTATTTGATAATTTTCTGGTGTGTGTGAGAATCCTTAAAATGATTATCATATTGGAAGGGGAGAGCACTCGCATGCAATATAGTAGTATTTCATGAAATGCATGGGCTGGAATCCCCACGGGATTTCCGCCATTTTAATATTTTCTTGCTGCACTCAATTACCTTTGTCCATTTGTTTTAAGCCTAAATGACTGCTAATAGTAATACTACTTCTCCAATCCTAAATATAAGGGTCTTATATTTAGGATTATAATAGTATTATATTTAGGACCGGAAGAGTATTAATTAAATCAGATGCCTTATTCATGTGGTCAATATTTTAAACAAGCATTGTGATCTTGCTTTGGAGGTTATGTTAATTATTATAATAAATGCAAAGTATTCGGCCAAATATATAAAGCATTTATAAATTCCTTTCTCAGCCATTCAAATATAATTAACCGAGGATATTGTGTATAAACAGAAGATATGGAGAGTATGCAGAGTACCCATCCTAAATGTGCACTTAATAACTTTTTACATTTTTTGCCTCAAAATTTTAATAGTTGTCTCTCAAACTATAAGTGGATATTTCGGATACCTTTTAATCACAATAAGAGTGAAGTTGAAAATTTTTAAAATTTTTGTTGACAATTTAACCATGGACCAATATTTTCCAAAGTCGTACCAAAATACTAGAAAAAAGAACAAATAATAAGGAGAGAAGGAGTAGAGACAAAATATATGGAGCGGTGGTAGGGGCAGATGCCCCTAAAATCTTAAAAAGAAGACCACTTTTTTTTTTTTGGGGGGGGGGTGGTTGTCCCTGAAAATTGTCTGCATTATGAGCACAGCACAGAGAAGATGCCTGATGACTCTTGACCAGCCGTGTCAACTTTGCTTTCCGTTGGCACCTACTCCTTCGGAGCTCCCTTCGCCTCTCTAAGCAAAAAACAATTCTATTTCTCCTTCCAGGCCCCTGCAGATATTTTCCCCAACACCCTCGTCCCCGTGTCATTGCCTGGTAGCTTCCCACTCCTAATGCTGTCTTCATCTGACTTTAGACGCAATCCTTTAATTAGGCATTAATGCACTTTGACGTTGGGTAGTTTGATCTCCTCTTGAACTCCTCTCTCCCCTGAATCTTCCCTTCCCCTGATTCCACCTCCTCCCCATGTCCCTCCTTTTTATTTTTTAGTATTATATTTCCGTGTGCATGTCCATATCAACATTGCTGGTTCTGCTCATCATGTGTTCATAAATCTAACGTGGCAACCAAGTGTGCACGAAATGGCAGTTACACCTGTATTTGATATTTAATCTCCCCGCCGGATTCGTCCTTAAATGGCAAAGAACAGCCTCATTTAATTTAAATAATTTGGCAACCCAAGTCTAATGACCGAATCAACCTCCAACGACAAAAAACCTCAATCATATGTGGGAATATTATATCCCTGCTTCCAACACAGGAACCTCTGCCTGCTTGACTTGTCCTATATACCTGATAACGCGGTGGAAAACCATCTGCTCCATAAATATGCTAAGATTAGAATAATTTCTTTCTAATATTATCCCAAATGATATCTTGAACAAATTTAAATTTACAACTGTTTTTCTTTAACTTGCTTGAAGACAAAAGCTAAAAGAGAAAAAAAGGAAAGGAAGAGGAGAAAAGAAAATCGGAGGAATGGCCCATC